CTTTGCAAATAGGGAAGGGTGGAGGGGGTGAAGGGAGGGCAAGGGAAGGGGAAAAAAAATAAGAACCAAGAGACTCATGTAATGGTACAAGATCCCAATGATGAATGTAACTGTATACCTAAAATGTGCCAATAAAGTTAATGGGGGGAAAAAGATACATCATGTACAGGTACAAGCAGCCAATGATAAATGTAAATGTATTGTATACCTAAAATGTATCAATAAAAAATTTTAAGGAAAAAAAAAGTTTAACGAGAATGAATGGATTGTCTTACAGCATGGCCTTGCCTCCTTACTCCAGTTTACAAGGCTCTGCCTGTCCAGTCCTGCTCACTTCAGCTCTTTCTTTGTGGGGTTTTGCCCCTTTCTTCATTGCAGACCCTGTCCTTTTTACTCTATTTGTTGGGAATGTCAAAGTTGCCTCCCACCCATGAGTCTTTTATCTTTTTCCCTGATATGTTCATCTTTCTGTTGTGCTTTCATCTCTTCCTCCTTCTCTCTTCCCTATATTTTTTGCCCTTCCTCTTTTTCTTCCTCCTTACTTTCCATTTTCTCTCTGACCTTCTTTGTTCAGCCCCTTTGATAACAGCTTTCCTCTGGGAAGCACTTCCTCCAGCCTTAGACTCCCATATTCTCATTGACATAGGTGCCTTATGGTGGAGACAACTAGCCTAACCCAAAGGAGAAGTCAGGGAAAGCAAAAATGTAACAGTGTAAACAAGAAAATATATCCAAACTGAGCCCCTATTTAAGGCTGTTTTTGGGTACACCATGTTCTGTTTTGGTGGTGGGGATGAATTAATTGTCCATAACACATGCATATTCACAGCTCTGTGCTTCCTGCTTATTTATTGGGTAGGTTTATATGTGCAGAAACAGATTGAGAAACTTAAAGTATGATAACTTGATATTTCATAGTCATCTTTCTCATTTTGTTTGGTTCAAACTCAGAAGTTTTAGTGAGTTTAAAATGTTCAAAGTATCCGTCTTATACCAGAATTATGATTCTGTGGAGGAGCTATTAGTGGCCACTGTATAGGCCTCCGAAGATGGCAGAAGCTGTTCTAATGGGGTAAGAGGAGAAAATGGTGATAAGGTCAAAGAAGCAATGCCAACAATTCCACCTCTGGCATACTTCTGGTTGAAGCCCCTTTTAGGACACCACAGAAATTCTACATGGAACATAGAAGATGAGAATCCACACTACATACTGGAGGACAAAGTGGGCATGACGCTCTCCTAATCCTTGGTCTGAATAGTGGGCCTGGCTGAATAGATTCCTTACGTTCAGAAGGCCACTACACCCAGGGCAGGAATTCCTGCTTCCACTTTCCTTTTCCTAGAGGTAAAAACAAACAGAAGGAGTCCCCAAAGAATGGCAGGATGGTCTCAGTGGAGCACACTGTATTTAAATGCAATTCACCTCTTTGTGTTCTAGGAAAAGCCACCTGTAGATTCATTTGCTGGGAGACATGGTCTTCATGGCTGAGGCAGTGGACACTGGGGTTGTGGCCTTGCCAAAAGCTGACTTTCTTCGGAGGTCTGTCTGCTGTCCCGAATGGCAGCCGCTTCGGTGGGCAAACAGGATGGTCATCTCTGGGCTCAAGGAGGCTGCTTCAGGCTGGGACCCCTTGAGGGTGGCTGATTGTTCAGGCTTTCCAGAGGAGGAATGGGAGGTGTGATGTTTGGTGGGAGGAGGGCTGTAATTCTGGAATCTCACGGTTTTTACTTGCTGCAAGAGAAAAGAGCAAAGGAACATGGGTGAGACATGTACTGTTTCCCCTGGGACTGAGTTCATGTTGTTTTTCTACATTTGTCCCCACTCAGAATGCCTTATCTATGTGTTATTCATTCAGCAAATACTTCTGTCTACTAGGAGTGTTTACTGTGCATAATGCACTCTGTTAGGAGGTGTGAATCCAAGACTGAACAAAGCCAAACAGAAAATCATAACAAGTGCATGATGGGGGAGGTATCAGACACTGTGAATGCAGAGAAGAACCTAACTACAGCTGCGATGGGCCTAGGCTGGGAAGGCTTCTTAGAGGCAGAGCTATTTAAATCGAGAACTGAAGAAGACTCAGCATTATCTGGGAGACATAGAGTAGGCAATTATTTATAAAAAGGGCCTGATGCAAGAGGGTATGATCCCTTCTAGCAAATAAAAGCTCACCTTCCCTGTCTCCTTGCTGCCCTGGTTAAGGTCTAACTCCAGGCCAAACTCTTTGTTGAGGCCTCTCCTTGTGACTTTATTTACAGATTTCCTTAATAGTCTGGTAAGCCCTCAGTGGATCGTTTGCTCATTAGACACCTGCTGGCTGAATTTAGCCTTCAGAATGTTTGAGAATTTGATGTATTTCTCCACACAGAATGACCAGAAGACTGCATGTAAAAATCCAGGACTTCATGTGTGTGTTTAAAAAAATCAAAGACTAGGCGTGGTGAAGCACATCTGTAATCCCAGCCCTTATAGAGACTGAGGCAGGAGGAACACAATGTTGAGCCTTGGCTGGGCACCGTAGTGAGACTCTGTCTCAAAATAAAAAATAAAGAAAAAGGGCTGGGGATGTAGCTCAGTGGTAGAGCTTTCCTAGGTTCAATCTTCTAGCATTGAAAAAAAAAACAACCAGATCTTGCACACTGGGTAACTCCCCATCTGGCAATAGTTGACTGGACCCAAGGAACAGTTCCCCTTTATGTGAGACTTGTGAGCTCCTGTTTGCTCCAAGTCCAGCCTCACTCTCCTTCTTTTCACCTGTCCTAGTCTGTTATATAACTGCCTAGTAATTAAAGGTATTTGCTTTGGCCAATCGCTGTCTTAGGGTTTAATAAAGTATTCTGTAGATACTGGGAATTATTTCTTTTTTTCCATGAAATTCAATCCTTGTATCCTCAACTGATAACCCAAAATTTCTTCACACTTTTTGACTCTTTCCATAGCTAGCTGGGGCCTGGAGACTGACTAAACCCTGTTTGAGGGCTATATCTAATAACTTAGCTTATTGGGCAGCTGTGCCTGGAAAAGTTTAAATCACTTGAATACTCTGAGTCAGAACGAGAACTCCCAACACTCATATGAATCACAACTCTTTTTGAAAATGCCTTTTCCTGTAAGTGTATAGCTTAGCATTAGGAGTCTGAGGGTTTTTAAAAAAATTCTTTTATTGGTACATTTTAGGTATACAATACGTTTACATTTATCATTGGGTGCTTGTACCTGTACGTGATGTATCTTGGTTCTTATTCTTTTCCCCATTACCTGTGCGCCCTTCACCCCCTTCACCCTCCCCTATTTACATAGATTTTGTTTCCATTTTTTTTCTTTTCTCATAATTTCTCCTTTCCCTTCTTTCTTTTCCCTTTCCCCTCCCACCACCTCTACACCTTTGGACCTTTTCCTATTTCAAATTATCAATTATTCATTTTAATCATTTTAATCCTTATTTACACTTTCAGTTTCTCACACTAGAGAAACTATTTGGTATTTATACGTGTGTCCTATTTATTTCACTTAAGAGGATGGCCTCAATATGTATCCATTTAGCTATAAATGTCTCTAGTTTCTCATTCTTTATGGCTGAGTAGTACTCCATTTATAAAAAAAACCCCACATCTTCTTTATCCAGTTTCCAGTTGATGGGCACTTGGGCTGTTTCCAGGCTTTAGCTATTATAAGCTGTGCTGCTATAAACATGGGTGCACATACATCACTGTGGTATGATTCTTTTAATTCTTTGGGGAAGATCCCCAGCAGGGGAATAGCTGGGTCAAATGGGACCTCTAGCCCTAGTTCTTTGAGGTATCTCCGATTTCCACAGTGGTTGCACCAGTCTACACTCCCACCAACAATGGAGAAGGGTTCCTTTCTCCCTACACTTCTGCCAGCATTTATTATTGGTAGATTTCTTGATAGCAGCCATTCTTTCTGGGGTGAGGTGAAATCTCAGTGTTGTTTTCATTTGCATCTCTCGAATGAACAGTGATATTGACCATTTTTTCATTTATTTATTTGCTGCTTTTACTTTTTTGTCTGAGAAATGTCTGTTCATTTTAGATGCTCATTTTTGAATTGGGTCTTTGAATTTGGGGGGTCTGATTTTTTTCAGTTCTTTATATATTCTAGATAGTAGACCTTTGTCTGAGGTACAGCCGCTAAAATTTTTTTTCCCACATTGTAGGTTGTCTCTTAGCTCTGTTGATGCTTTTCTCTTGCAGTGCAGAAGCTTTTTAATAAGATGAGATCCCAGTTTTTGATTCTTTGTGCTTTGTGTGTTGTTCCCGTGCTGAGATTTTGTTCATGAAGTCTTTTCCTATGCCAATGTCTTCAAGAGTTCTACCTAACTTAGCTTCCAGCAAGTTTAGTGTTTCTGTCTTAATATTTAGATCTTTAATCCACTTTGATCTTAGTTTAGTGCATGGTGATAGGTATGGGTCTAGTTTTAATCTTTGGCTGGTTGAAATCTAATTTTTCCAACACCATTTATTAAATAGGCTATCTTTCCTCCAGTGAGGGTGATTGAGGAACCTGAGTTTTTATGGATTTTATTCCAGACATTTCTGTGCATCAGGTGTGTGGTTTCAAGAACTGGCCTTTAGTTTCCTGAGGCTCCATATTCTTATTTTAAAATGAAGATGAAAATAATACCTACTTCAGAGGGGTGTTGTCAGTATTAAACGAGATGGGACATGTGAAGTACTGGGCACAGTGCCTGCAAGTTGTTAGTATTTAGGAAATGCTTAACAAATAGGAGGAAATTACATCATCTTCCTGTCTTGGGGAGAATGGGAGCGATGTTAGTGGTGGTGACACCTCAGTGGCAGTGATGTTCAAAACTTCAAGATAACAATGAGCATCATCTAATTTTCTTAATGTTACCTCTTCCTTTCCAGATCCTTCCTGCTTCAGGGGTATTTCAAAAGCTCCTGTCTCCTAGTGTAAAAAGGTCCGGGTAGAAGTTAACAGGTCTGACCTCTGCCACAGAGGTCACAATAAATTAGCTGTTGGAATTGACATCGTTCAGTGTGTGACCTTGATAGTAGATTCTCCTGTGTCTCAGTTGCCTCTGTGACATAATGAATGATTATGTGTCAAGCCCCATGTAAGCACTTTATATCATTTCATCTCTCCAGTCTATATGGTTATCATTATTCTTACCTCCATTTTACACACTAGCCAAAGAAAAGTTCAGAAGGGTAAAGTGTTTTGCCCAAAGCTACCCAGCCAGCAAGTTGCAGTTTCAAATCAAGATTTGTCTGATGCCAAAGTCATGTTTATTCCAAGCCTCTGGGCCTCAAAAGAAGAATGTATAAAGGATTTGAGAGGCATAAGGGAGTCAGCACCATGTCTAGGGAGGGGAGGTGGCGTGGTGTGAGGGTTCTTCTGTGGCTGCGTTCTGGGTTCTGGATCTTTGCCCACTAACGCTAAAACCTCAGGGGCTGCGACGGTGTGGAAAGTCGGGGCTAAAGAGTCAGGCTCTCAGTGCCCCACTCCTACCTTCTCGATGCCATTCCTTGAGTTTTCTGGTTTCACCAGGATTGATGGAGGGGCAGATGCAGGCGGTTTGGGTGGCGGCTCGCTCTTGGTGGGGACTTCCTTGCTTTCCATGAGGAGGGAACTGGCTGCGGAGTGGATCCTGGTTTCGCTCCCTCTGTTGACGAAGGTGAGGGCAGGCTCCCCGGTGGAAGGAGGCTTGGGTCCCATCTCCACCACTGCAGAGGAGGAGGAGGAGGAGACCCCCTGTGGCTGGTAGAATTGGAACTGCTGAGGCCGCGCTGTCATGGTGGGGCTGCGTCTGAGGGAGCCCATCACGAGGGTGGGGATCCCGGACTGGGCGGGTCTCTGCAGAGACCCATCTGGGGGATTATAAGACAGAGATATCAGCAACAGGGGCAGAGGACAGAGGCGGGTTGGGGTGGGTGAGTGTGTCCTGATGCCCTGGAATAGTTAAGCGCTTTCCTAATTTGACTGTGTTCACACTCTCCCAGGGTCTTTCACAGGTGACCTTATTCTTTTTTAGTGCTGTTTGCTGATGCGGACAGCAAATAACTGGCTCACTGAATGGTGTGTGTGTGTGTGTGTGTGTGTGTGTGTGTGTGTGTGACAGAGAGAGAGAGAGAGGGGTATATTGCTTCTATTTGGCTTTTCTCCTCTGTCTTTCTGTCTCACTCCATCACACACACACACACACACACACACACACACACACACACACACAGACAGACACACCCTACTCTCTTCTTCCAGGGCCTTCAGATGCCGAGTGAAGAAGAGAGGCACAGAGATAGCTTCACAATAAGAAGCAGACATAATAGTATGCAGACCACAGAGGAAACAAGAGACAGAGAGACAGCAGAAATTAAGAAACACAAGAGACAGACAACTGAGAAGGACAAGAAGGAAGGACAGAGGAAAACAGGGGAGCAGGGAAGAGGATTCTAACCTGCTACTTGCTGAAGACAGTTCTGACAGAGCTTTAGGCATGAGGTGGGGAGTGCTTTATTTGGGGGGCGCCTGCGGAGAGGAAGGCTGAGTGGAAATGACAGCATGAGTGCTAGACAAGCAGGATATCAGACAGGGGCAAACTTGGAAATATTGTCCAGAGTTAGGGCTATGTGTAGATGAGCTCAAAAAAGTCTTATGACATAGAATCTCAAATCAGACTTTGTCCCAGGGAGTCCAGGACAAGGAAGTCACGTTACTGTCCTGCACCTCAGTTTCCTCATCTGTAAGGCAGAGACAGGAATGGGACATCACGGGGCAGGTCAGGGTTATGGCTTGTTATGTGCACAAAATGTTAGCTGGATAGTGCTTGGAACGTATTAGATGCCCTGTTTCTTAGCTATCACTCATTTTAGGGTGATGGGTAGTGTACATTAACAATAAAAAGCCCAAGAGTCTGGTTTTGCCCTTTCCTGAACTCATTATTTTTTAAAAACAAAATTGGAATAGTCCTCCTTCAGTAAAAGGAAACCATTCCTTTCCGGAAATTCTCTAAAGATAGGAGAGCCCCATCCTTTGGGAAGATGTCCTGTGGGTGACCTGGGAATCAGAGGTTCACTGCATCCTGGGAGGAAATGGGGGACACAGCTCTGAGAAACACTGCAGGCCAATTCTCAAAAGCATCTCCCAGTATTTACAAAGTTATAGGTTATATCTCATCCAGAGATCTGTGTCTTGTGACACTCCACTGACACGTTTTGACTCAAAGTCATTTATGTCTATCATAGAAGGCCTGAGGCAAGGCCACATTCGGCATTGTGACACTTTGTCAGGCTGGATGGGAACATGAAAAGCAGGACACTCACTAAACACATTGGGCATTCTCAGCTGCAGCAAGAAAGCCCATTACCATTTACACAAGCTTGACCTTTCAGTTTAGACATTTATTTTTCTACTGACAGCTCTGTGAGGTGCCCACGGTCAATTCTCCTGTCATTTCTCTTTGCTTTGGGGAGATTGATAGTTTGACCAGTCTCACCTTAGGAAAAGGGAGAAAGAGAAAGCCTCCAGGACCCAGGAAGTCAAAGCAACACTGGGAAGACATGTCCTGAGGCTCCCATGAATGTGTAAAAAATTGGGTCATGGTATCTATCTTGTTGGTTTCTTATTTTCAAGAGATTTAATGTTTTCTTATTACTTGTGCATACAATGCAAACAGTCAAAGCTCTAAGCCAATCAAAATTTATATGGAGGTAGAGGGGGAATTTATAAAAGAAAGTGTGAGTCATTGACAATGGGTTGCAATTCTCAGCATTCTGAAGTGGTCTAGACTGAGTGTAAATGCTTCAATCCTAAATGAATTCTAGATGGACCTATTTATTTGTAGTAGCAATGATAAAGTTTATTTACTAATAAAATATTATTTAAAAAACCCTAATGTGTCTGAGAGCTTATATATACCGGGCACTATACCGGGCACTATACCATTAGTCTCATAGATTATTTTATTAGATCCATATAGTAGCAGTGATGAGATAAATATTAGTTTTTATTTCCATTTTACAAATGAGAAGACTGAATAGGTTAGTACCTGGCTCAGGGCTGTTGTGCATACAGTGGCACCTTGGTTCACAAACTCAATTCTCTCTATGATTCTGGCCACAAACCAAACTGGATCAGAACTGTATCAAATTTCCCCAATAAGGTCAACATTGAACCTAACCGTTGAATTTGATTCAGTTCTCATCTAACTCAGTTTGCAACCAGAATAGTGGAAAGAATCAAGTTTGTGAACCTAGGTACCACTGCACTTATGTGTGTGTGTTGTGTGTGTGTGTGTGTGTGTGTGTGTTGAGGGGAAGGAGGTGGTGGAAGGAATGGGAGGCAAAGGCAGGAGGTACAGTTAGGTGAGTTGAAGCAGCCAGAGTAGAGAGACTGGTGGCCAAACAGGCAGTCAGACAGAAACACTGGGATAGGGTACTGTGAAGATACTTTTCTTTTTCTTGGGGCATTTTCCTGCATAGAGTATTGTCCCGTATGTTACTCTTCTCCTCTAATTAGTTGTGTGTATCATTTTCATGTTTAATCATTTGTTAAGATTGCAAGAGAGACTGCAGGGCCCAGTTTAATTAAGGAAGAATAGAGTAAACCATATTTACTACACTTGGCTGGTTACAGAGGAAGAAAACCTTGAACTTCTGCAGAACATTTTCAAACACTTTTTAGAATCCTCCAAAATGAAATTTTATGTAGAGATTTACTATGGTAAGAGATGAAAACATAGTTCCTAAAATGACAGGTATGTATCTATTGCAATGTGGATGTTGTGTAGGGAAAAATAAAAACAAGGTGCAGCACAGTGTGGTGAGCGTAATTAACGGGTGTGTCTGTCTGTCTATCTATCTATCTATCTATCTACCTATCTATCTATCTATCTATCTATCTATCTTCCTACCTATTGAAAATTTCTAACTGAGGGCTAAGGGGATGAGGGAGACTTGCTTTTGTACATGTTTTTACACTATAACCTTAAAAAAACCACCTTATGCACACATTACATAAAATACACAATGGGAGTCAGGGGTTCTGAGCACTGGGCCCTTCATTCTCATCTCCTACCTCCAGCTCCTGCACACTCACCTCCTGGGGTCCTCCCTAGAGCATAGTTTGAGAAGCACTGACCCGGCAGAGGCTTTGGCCAGTCTGTCCTTGTAAGAACCAGCACCTGTCTTGGCTGTGTTCTAATTATGTGTCAGCATACATGATTGCTTCCATCCTTGTGGTCATCACACATGCAGGAAGTGACCCAGGGTGGTGACTTTCAGTCAGTGTGGCTTCAATACAATAATTAATTGTTTGGAAATTACAAAGCATCCTTTGCAGAGGTCATTTTAAAGCCCAGATTCTGCTTTTGTCAAAAGCACCCCATGTACCCTGGGGTTGGACCCCTCTTACTTAGCTCTAAGCACGTACCTCTCTGCCACCACTTACTCTTTCTCATGCTGTTCCGCCCTTTCCGAAGGGACCCTTGTCCTAAAGCTCCCGAGCCGGCTGTGCTCTTCACAGGGTTGATTATGGCCGTGGGCACAAAGACAGATTTGAAAGGACGGCTTTGCCGGGGATCACCTTCTGAAACGCTGCCTTGAGATGACGCAGAAGAGGTGGACAATGTCCATGTGGTGTAGAGACCAGGGCTCTGGGAATCTGGGAAACTAGAGGCCTTTCTGGTTGTTGAACATTTTTTTTTTTGAAGGGAAGAAACAGAAAAGGAAAATGTTCAGTCAAGGGTCCTAATTTCAAAAACTATCAGCTCCTAACCATAAACCAAAATGTGGATGCTCCTCACCCTCTTCCTGCCATATGGGCCCAACTAGGTGGGCTGCACCTCTCTACCTCTTGATAACTGTGTGGGAGAGCTGAGGGCAGGGAGAGGGGCTCATATGGAGGCCTGGTGGGACTAGAAGGCTTGAATTTCATCTTTCACTGCAGCTCTGATCCCTCTTTGCAGCACATCCCTTCAGCACAAGATCTTGCATTTATTCATCTCATTTTGCAATGGCAATTTCTTGTCCATTCAGTGGCTGTCCCACTAGAGTCTAAACTCTCTGAAGGCAGATTTTCTATTGCTATTTTATATCTTTTGGGTACCGCATATATTATTGATTAATGTTTGTTGAATGGCTACCATGATGGCTACATGTGTTGAGTCCTTTTTTTTTTCTGGTACCGGGGATTGAACTCGGGTCCTTGCGCTTGTGAGGCAGGTGACAGAACCACTGAGCTAAATCCCTGGCCCTAATGTGCTGAGTCCTTACTGTATGCCAGGCCTTTGCCCACATCAATACACGAATTCTTTACCACAGCCTTCTGATGTAGTGCTATTAGCACCACTATTTTATACATTAAAAAAACAGAGATTTGTACTTACTCAAGCAACTGTTAGATTGGGGATTTGAACCCAGCTCCTCTGCCCTTACCACTGAGCTAGCTATACCTCCTCCTGGCTGGTGAGAGCATTATCTGGTAGCAGGAAAACCCTTTTATTCTGCCTGAAATAAATGAGCTAAAGCTGCCCATAGCCCCTGCACATGCCTTCATAAGATCTTAATTATTCAGCCATAGGCTGTGATTTTCAAGAACATCATTAAAGTTTTATAAAATAACAATCCCTTGTTCATTGTTTCCAACCTGCAACTCCCTGAACTTCCTGGGAGTGGTGGACATTTTACATGCCTTTCTTTCCTTTTCACCAACCCAACCCCAACATCACCTCTTCTACCAGTCACCTTGGTACTCTGCCGATTCAGTAACCTCTACTAATTCCCCGGGAATGACGAACTCAACCAAGACCCTGGCACAAGATGCCCTCATGATTTCCTTCTTGTCAATGCCTCCAAGTTTTCCTTTAGGGCAATTTCCATTCACTTCTCTTTCTTCTTTCCTCTCCTTCTTTTTAAAAGAAAGATAATATAATTTCATAATGAACCACTGTCACAGGAAGATGGTGAAGGTGCCACTTAATTGTGGCCAATGCTGCCCAACAAGTATGTAGCCAAATGCTCTTGTACTTGTACTTGCAGCAAGGGAGTTCCCTTTGCAGCTGCCACCCTGCCTCTGGCCCCTCTGGTGGTATGGTCACTGAAGAGGCCTGGGGCTTTGCCCTGGTCTACATTCAGAGATGAGGCCTGGGCAGTGGAGAGGAATCCCAACTCTGGCTTCCATCGCAGAGTGAAGATGATCTGCCTGTCTTTTGAACAGAGGCCCCAGGAGTTGTATGCTGCAAAATGGATTGGCAAGAGGAAAGACAGGTTCCAAAAATGTTTTCAGCAGTAGCAGCAGCAGCAAGGACAGAATAACGCTAATTAGGTCCAAGCTAGCCTTATTCTACCAGTCCCTTCTTGGAATTGCTATTCAAGGACTGAGGTATGACTTCATTTTTCTGAGCCCAGCACTGGGCCAGATTCCAGGAACTCCTAAATCCCAAGTCTCTCATCCAACACTGAGTCTCTCTATGTCTTTTGGCAAAAAGCTTAGCACTTACCTAACACTTTCTACCAACATCAAAGTACTTTGCTAACATGTATTAATTAATCCCTATGAGACATTATGATCCTTATTTTCCAAAGAAGACAAAGACATTCTGGATGTAAGTGGGAGGAGTGGATGTTGCTTCTGATTTGCTCTATTGATCAGGTCCCTGTGTCTTTTTCTGTCTGGGATATTACCAAAATTCAAAAGGGGGGCCAGGGATTTAGCTCAGTGGTTCTGCCGCCTACTTTGCAAGCACAAGAACCAGAATTCAATCCCCAGTACCAAAAAACCAAACCAAAACAAAACAAAAAAACCAAAAAATCAAAAGGGGCATTGCACATAGCAGCTCTGCTGGGCCCACCACTGGCAGCAGACTATGGCCAGCTTTATGTAGTCTGTGTAAAGTGCTAAAAGCCAAGGAGCAGTGATCCATCCATCACTTTCCTCTACCCATAGGGCACCAGGTATGCATCTATGTGTCTGTAAAGTTTGCAAAAAAAAGAAATACCCTGGCTAATTGGGCAGAAGGGAATTTGTTGGGAGGACAGGAGGGGGAGAAAAGGACTTGGAAACAGGAGCTTCAGAGGGTTCAGCAAGGAAATCTCCAGCAAGACATATGGGTCAGATGTTCCTGCTGGTGCTTTCATCATGAATGATCATCACCTTTGCCTGCATCCTTTCCTTCCTCGTACATTTCAAAGTTCTAGTTGGGAATGTAAGATTATCTGGGCCTCATCCTTAGCTACATGATGAGTCGAGGAGGAAGGGGAGAAGGATTCGACCTCTGAACAGGGAGGGAAGGTTTGCCTCGCCCCCGGACTACATAGAAGAGCAGACTCAAAGGGATGTTGTTGCTATTTAGAAGGGGTTTGGATGGCAGACAGAAAAAAATTTGACAGCTGTTCTGTACAACCTGAGCCCACAAATGTCTCTGGTATTTGTTTGTTTTTTGTACCGGGGATCGAACTCAGGACCTTGCACTTGCGAGGCAGGCGGCAGAACCACTGAACTAAATCCCTGGCCCTGTCTCTGGTATTTAATGGCAGAGATTTAGTTGTTGTCAAGAAGAGGTAGGCAGGTTAGTGTTGGTATTTAACTTAGAGGGCTGGAGTACACAATGGCACAGCAGCCTTTTTGAGTCTCACTCATTCAAAGACTCACTTGCTGAATCCTAAATATAAACTCTGGTGTTTTGGTCAATTCTCGGCTGTAGTTAATTCCCAAATTCAGGCTGACTCAGTTCATGTGGGGATGATACTAATAAGAGCAAAGATTCCAATGCTTGGGAGCCACCCCAAATATCTGACTCTATTTCGTAAAAGTCTGTATTACACACAGAAGGGGCTGGATAGCAGTGGAAACAAAAACAAAGACAAGGGAGCCAAAAACCCCACATGGAATCTAAGAGCAGAAAGGAGCCTTGGACAGGTAGCCCAACCCACTAAGTTCTCACTAACTTGGTAATAGCAGTAGAAACTCAGCTGGCAAAGGACAGCACTTTCTAGCCCTGAGAAGTGGAGACAATGAAACTTCCCACAGTGGAAAGAATGGTTAAGAACAAGGGTTAGCTGAACCCAGATAGACAAATAGGGCATGTATCATTCATGTCCAAGATTTGTTGGGATGAGAACTTTCTTATATCAGAAAGACCATCTAGGAGAACATAACAAATGCTGAGAAAGCATTGATTCTTTGTCATCCAATAACCCTCAGGAACATGTTTCTTGACAAGGACTTGTTCTTGGGAATGCTCTTTGATCATAAGGAAAATCATGCCTAAACACTAGCAGGACCTCAAGATAGGCAACTGTTCTGATTTCCGTGAGCTGGGAGGAAGGTGTGGATTCAATAGCAACCTTACAGCATTCAATATTTGTTGAAGGAATGAAATAAAACATCAGTTACAGATACTCTTAGTTTGCCTTTGGATAGTTTTCAACTTTAAAAAAGTCCAGGAACCTTCCATAGCTATCATCTTCTATCTCAACTTTCTGCCATGTGAAGAAATCTTTTTCTATAATCCTGGATCTGTGGGGACCTAGACTTTATGTGCACTCTTCTTAGGAGGAGGTTCTCTACCTCACTATCCAGCTTGGTTGGAAAATTCCATGGGTCTGAAGTGCAGCCTTTTATTGAACTAAAACCTTCTAATTTGTGTCCCCTGGTCTACTCCATTGCCCTCTTATCTAACAAATCTACCTCCAGATTTACACAGTCTCTTAAGATCCCTCTGTCCCTTGTCTTCTACAGGTGAAACAAGGCAGTTTCTTTATCAGTTTCTCAGTGATACAGTTTGCTGTTTCCTCATCATCTTTGCAGCCCTCCTCCAGACAGTGTCCAGCCTCAATGAAGGTCCCCAAAAGTGGACATATGATTTTTGGTCTGACTCCTACAGATTACAATGGGCCTGTCATTCTCCCTGGTGTTGTGACCCTCCGGTATATCATAAAGACAGTGTTTGGGGCATAATGATGGCTTTGCTTGGGTTGAAGGAGGTGGAGGTAGGATGAGTCATGGGTAGATTTGAGGTCTGTGTGCATTTGTGGTCATGGTGTAAGATGGCAGGATAAACTGTGGGCAAGTGAAATTCACAGGTGGTGGCAGAATTAAAAAAGATGAGGAAAGCAGACAGAGAAAAGGGCTTGCAGGGTGACTAGCATTTGTTCTGGGGTGTGGATGAACATTTAGTGGTCCAAGCTCATGGAAATTATGCCTAATGGTGTAGCATCCTGAGAACTCTGCCCAGGTACTCTGGGAAGGTCATCTGATTCACTTCCCAGTTATTCCACTAGATGGAGTGTTGGGGCCTAGGATGTGAGGTGGGATTCTGGGACTTGTGCAGAAGAAAACCTGAAATCTCACTCTTAATCAAGCTGTCTAATCCTGCACATCACTTTCCTCATCTGTAAAATAATATATACAAGATTATTAGGCATGGCTAGTGAGTTAAAAGAGGCAGAAGTGTTTGTAAACTATGAAGAGCTATAAAAATATAATTGTTTTTGTTGTATATTTTTAAAAGAGTTAAGATAATAGGGCAAAGCTGTTTCTTGATCTCCATCAGTTCAACCCTCAGGAGGTCCCTGGTATAGGATGATCCAAACTTCTGAAGCCTGAGACTGAAGGGGACGCACCTGAAAATGGGGATGACATAGTTGTTGGGGAAGATGCCGACTCGCCCAGTGACCAAGGAGATGCCCCGGAGCCAGCCGTCCTGGTACTTCCCCAGGACCCTGATGCCTTCTCCCTTCTGCAGGTCCAGCTCATTTGGTCCATGGGCTGAGTAGGAGTGTAGGGCTACAAACCTGGGAGACACAGGGAACCGGAAGGGAAGAAGGTGAGCATGTCTGGCGGAGGGCACAGGGCCTATCAGTGGTACAATCAGAGCTGCATCCCAGAGCCCCTCAACCCAGTGGTTAGCAAGAAAAACCTTTAAAAATGTGAAACCTCAACATGAAGGAGGATCAAAGTGGAACAACCTAGTTCAAATAGCAGCGGAGAAGAGCAGGTACTTGTTTTCTCCATCTCTCTCCCCTTCCATACAGCACCGCACAGGTGCTAATTCCTAATTTAGGCCGACACTGGCACTTTAACAATGGGAAAACTGTCCTCTTATGGAGGAAAGCCTTGGTGGCTAGGAATTAGTGGTAGAGATTGCTCTCAAACCTACAGGTAGTGGTCCACCTAGCATACTTTTTCACTGCTGTGGTGTGTCCCTCAAGAAGACTGTCACAGTCTGCAAGGCCCAGGGAAATGAGAGGTCAGCACAGAAGTCTCTGACTTATTCCCAAAACTGTGTGTAGGGACAAGTTCGACTTTTAGGAAGGGCTAAGGAGCCAGCTGAATATAGGCAGAGAAGTGTACACTGGGAAGTGGGAAGCAAGGGTTGATTTTTGTTCTTTGGCACACAATGAAATATTAGCTTCATAGTGGGATGGAGGGGAGTGAACTTACAATAAACACAGTGAAAATGTCCTCAAGTTAGAATGGACATTGCACCCTAAAGTTTTCACAAGACTCAGGTGACATCCAGGTATGAGTCCTGGGAGTGAAGACAACAGGTAACAGTGAGACTGAGGCTGAATGAGTCTGAGTAGCCGCCAGGTTGAAGGTATTAAAGAAATAACCCAGTATGCTTTGTTAAATTCAGGGGTCACCAGAATATCCCTCAGGCTAGATGTTAACAAGTCCTTCTAGATTCTAAGGACTATGAGACACTAGAATGTTTTATTAAAGAACTTAGGAGTGTGTTCGCAACTACATGTTTTTTTTCCTTCCCCACACACTGTATTTTATGGTGATTACTAAATCAACATCCATTTATGACCCAACATTTTGAACCTAAAGAAATACAATTGAGATTGCTCAATATCCAGTCTTCCAGTGATGTGATATATAATCTAGCAGTCTCTTTCTCCTTTCGTAAAATAATGAGCTAGGATGTTGTGACTTGCTAATTTTTGTTTTTCACCATTACTTCCTTTGGCAGTGGTGAGGGAAGTGGGATTGTTGTCTCTCAGGATGGAATGATTTGGTTTGTGCATGGGTATGTTTGATAGCCAAAAGAGGGCAAAGATGACCCTTCTATGCTAGGTCCTAGGGTGGAGGGTTGAGGTTTTTACTCACATGTTAGCTGACAGGTGTTGCTGGGAGCTGGGCAGACTGACCATGGCCATGGAATGTCCTGGAGAGGCAGGTGCAGGGTGATAAATGCTGACCTATACAAACAGAAAAGACAGCCAAGCAGAGCCAATGAATGCCAAAGCCAGGCCTTCTGCAGCAGACAAGCCTGCCACAGAAAGACTTGATGCAACTGAAAATCCAGAGCCAGCTTGCACCAACCACCTTTCATCTTCTCTGAGCTTTGTGGCTTTGGGTAGAGTAGGGTGGGATAGATGAGTTTATGGGTTGCTAGTGTGACCAGAGAAGACTGCTCAGGTACAGGGTGGATGGAGAGCTGCCTAATTCACAGCCAATGCAGTGCTGCTTGGCTCCTTGCTCTACCTCCTGCCCCACCCTACGCCTCTTTCAGTGTGCTCCTCCCTCTGTGAAAACTTGCTTTCAGAAAATATGATGGCTAGTACTGATTAAAAACTTAGCATTTGACAGACAGTTTTAAATGCTTTATAAGTGTACAGTGAATTTAATTCTTATTAAAAGTAGCTTATTAATTTGCAATTTTGGATGAGAAACTAAGATACAGAGCAGAAGAAAGGTCACCAAACTAAACGTATCTAGAGTATAAAGCAAATATCTACACAAGTATCTATACTATTCTATGAATATGTTATGTACATGAACTCTAGAGGAGTATGCAGTTAAGCACCACTATATGGTTTTCTGTGTGTATTTGTGTCAATGATTATATAAATGTATTTGTGGTTGTGTGTGTATGTTTGTATGAACTTTTGAGGATCTAATTATATGGTTAAAAACCCATTCCTGCCAGGTGTAGTGGCACATGCTTGTAATCCCAGTACTCAAGAGGCTGAGGCAGGAGGACTGACACAAGTTCAAGGCCAGCCTGGGCTACATAGTGAGTTCAAGGCCAGTTTAAACTACATAGTGATGCCCTGTCTCAAAAACAAAACAACAACAAAAAACCTCATTCCTGTCAGATAATGCGTGTTGTTGGCAAAGAGATAGAAAAGTCGAAACCCTCATATATTGATGGTAGAAATGTAAAATGTTTTGCCCCTTTTGGAAACCAGTTGGTCAGTCCCTCAAGTTACCAGATGACTTAGTATGTCTAGTCCTAGTAGGTATACCCAGGAGAAATATCTACTGTATGCCCAGGAGGGATAAAAACATATGACCACACCAAAACTTGTATACTAATGTTTATAGAAAAACATAATAAATAACCAAAAGGTGGAAACAACTCAAATGTGGATAAACAAAATGGTATATCCATTCAGTGGACTATTATTTAGCCATAGAAAATGAAGTAGTAACACATAGGAGAACATAGATGAACACTGAAGACATTATACTTAATGAAAGAAGCCATATACAAAAAACCACATATTATATGATTCCATTGATAGGAAATATCCAGAATATACCAATCTGTAGAGATGGAAAGTAAATTTAAGGTTTCCAGGAGTTGGGCGGGTAGGGGATCATAGCAATGATAGCAAAAGAGTTTAGTGATAGCTAAGACTACTGGGTTTCTTTTTGAAGTGGTAAAATATTCTAAAACTATGGTAATAATAATTACACATACAGTACCTATGACTATACAAAATACCACTGAACTGTGTACTCTGAAAGGGTGAACTGTATAATAAGTGAGTTATAGCTAAACAGTCCTCTTTCAGAAAAGAAACCATTCCACAATCTTTCATCTGGATACTCTAACACTGCATATGGTGTATTCTGCACTTTGAAGTCAAATATTGTCACACTAGTGTCTTCAGGCAAGGAGATGCCCCTGGACCTGGGAGATGTGTCAGGGGAGAGGCTTGTTATGCAAACAAGTGATCTTGTTTGTGAAGGCTGCTGAACCGCTGATTCAGCAGGCTGAGTTTCACTTAACACTCCTGACTTTCCAATGTTAGGTTTCAGTAAAAGCACCTCTATCCACAAACACCATTAATCTTTAGGGAGGAGGAAGATGCCATGTGCTAAGCCATCTTTCCATTATGACGGGCTCTACATTTTTGCTTCTGGACCTTCATCAGGGAGAGGTTTTTTCCCCTTTTTTGGAACTGACAGTGGCCAGGATGGAAATCTATGGGCTTGTGATGGAGTAATTTATAATATGTAATGGGAAAAGAGGTCAGATTCTCAGGATTTGAGGTGTCCTAGAGAAGAAAAGAAAATGTGGAGGAGGAGGAAAGAAGCAAAGAAGAAAGAGTGAGAAAGGGGAGATAGAAGAAGACTCTGGGAAGAGCAGAGAGTTAAACTGGGGCAGACAGAATAGGAGAATAAAGTTCTAGAGAGAATAAGGAGGGAGGAAAGAGGAAGATAAAAAAGATTAGGGAAAGTCTTACAATACATTCGTAAGAAGAAAACCCAATAAGGAATGGGGAAAAGGTACCACAAAATAAAATAAAATAAATTAAATGAGGCCTGTGAAAAGATGCCCAACCTCAATAATTATTAGGGATATGCAAATGTAAAAACTACCAGGAGATACCATACCTATATAACTACAAAAATGGCTAAAATTAAAAAGGCCAACCATACCAAGTGCTGATGCAAATATGGAACTACAGCTCTTATACACTTCTGGTGGGAATGCAAAGTGGCACAACCATGCTGGAAAACAGATCAACCACTTATAAAGTTAAATACACTGTTACCACACTACTCAGCAATCTTCAAAGTATCACCTAAGAGAAATTAAAACATACGTCCACAAAAGGACTTGTATGTGAATGTTCACAGCAACTATTCATTTTAGCCTCAAACTGGAAACAACTCAAAGGCCAATCTACAGTGAATCAAACAAATTACGGTATAACCACAGTGGGATACTCCTCACCAACATGTGCAACATGGATGAAACTCAGTATCATCATCCTAAATAAAAGACATCAGACCCAAAAGTCCACATACTATGTGATGCCATTCATATGAAATTCTAAAAAATAAGAAAAAACAGAGCTATGGTTACAGAAAACAGATTAAGAATTGCCAGTAGCCAAAAGAGGCAAGAAAACTTTCTAAGGAGATACCAATGCTCTCTGTTTTGATTTTGGTGTGATTACATGCTGAATACATTTGCCAAAAGTCATTGAATTGTTTATTTGAAATGGTGGAACTTTATTGTATGTAATTATACCTTAATAAAACTGTTAAAACAACTATTGTGAATACTGTGCATTATCTGATTGGTGAGAAGCATTCATGTGGCTTTAGCTTGACTCAGCTCAGGCTCTGGTATTGATCAGGAAGGGGATGTGATTTGCTTGGAATACTGGGCCTCTGTAAATAGGGAAAAGATAAGATGATGGCCTTGTTGAGCTTTGTTAGAAGTTAATGGAGAGACTTACTAAGGGCAGCTAGAGGCCACCTGTGGCTCTGCAGATTAGGGTCAAGAAATCAGAAAGACAAAGGCAAAAAAAACTAGCCTCAGGGAGGCCCCAAGTAATGTGATCAAAATAAGCCCCTTTACTTAATATTTAAGCCTAAACTACTTGTCCCTAAGCCCCCCACCCATAATCCTAGACTTCCCCAAACAGGAAAAGCAGTGACCAGAATAAATTCAAGGGGAGGAAAAAAGACAGCCATGGAACTAGATTCCAGGAGACTGACTACATGGGACAAGGAACTCAATAGAAGGGACCTGCACCCTCGCCCAGCCCTCCCTTTAACCCCTCCATTCCTCCCTGTTTACAAAGATTTTGTTCCTATTTTTCCATTTTCTCATATTAATCCCATTCTCTTCTATCCTTTCCCCTAGCCCTCCCACTTCCTTCCCCTTTGCCCCTTTTCTTCCTATTTCACATTACCTATTATACATTTTAGTCCTTATTTATGGAAGAAAAGGTCCAAAGGAGTAGGGGTAGTGGGAGGGGCAGGGAAAAGGAAAGAAGGGAAAGGAAAAATGATGAGAAATGGAAAAAATGGAAATAAAGTCTTTGTAAATAGGGAAGGGTGGAGGGGTTGAAGGGAGGGCTAGGAATGGGGAAAAAGTAAGAACCAAGATGCATTATGTAAAGGTACAATTCCCAGTGAGAAATGTAATTGTGTTGTATTCCTAAAATGTACCAATAAAAGAATTTAACAAAAAAAAAAAAAAAAAAAAGAAGGGACTTGCGGAAAAGAATCAACTAGTATTTTACTTTTGAATGCTCCCTACTCATCCAGAGTAGCCATCATCTCTTTTCCTCCTTCAAATAAATTGTCTTTAGTTTAAACTTGGTTTGTTTAACTCTTTACTGATGCTGGTTTTATGATCCCCAAGAGCGGTGTGCTCTAGCAGAGCAGTGGCAAGGCATGGTGTGGTATTCACCTCTCCCCAGAGGTTACACTAGCAAAGGAGCTTCATGGCAGGGGGCATCTTCTGAAGAGGAGAGAAACTTAGAGGAACCTGTGGATCATATCTCAACCAAGAAGGCTAAGGAAAGATCGACTGGGGAGATGGGAAAGGAGAACAAGATAAAGTCAGGGAAGAGAGAAGCTGGAAGAAGGGCAGAGAGAATAAGATGGAAAGGAAGGCCACACCTTGTAAATGAAGACACCGACAAGCTAAGTTCTGAGGAGGCAGGTCTGTTCCTGTCATGGGGATACAAGACAGGAGGCCCAGCCTTCCTGACTGGTCTGGTGGGTGGCTCCTTTCCCTGGGGTCACTTGTGACCTCAGGTACCCGTGCCACCGCGGTTTTCTAGGCCAGACACAAGGTCCTCCAGCAACTGCTGCTTCCTGGCATAGAGTTTGTGCCCTGAGATCAGGGAGTGGGTTTGATGTGAGGTAGGGGTGGAGTGAGGATTTCTGCTAAAATCTAAGCCTTTCTTTATCCCTTTTGAAGGAAATGACTCATTTAAAAGGAGTCTTTATCAGTCAGAGAAAAAGAACCACTGCCATGTGGCTTCTGGGCATTTGCAGGTCTTCTTGTGTTATGTGAGAGAGGGAGGGATCTGGAGCCTGGTGCAGACTTCTGGAATTGCTTCTCTGTCCCCTGCTGCCTTCACCACCGGCCACCTGGGCACAGAAACTACAGATGCCTCTCAGGAGGCTTGGAAAATGCTTAGGTCTTGGCTGCAGTGTG